TTTCCTTACTGCAGTACGCAAGTTTCTCCTATTGTGCCATCCGTCTACAAAACTTATCGCCATTGTGCGATGTTTCTCTTGGTAATTCTATCGCTTTTGTGCGATGTCGTACTGCGTTATGCAGGTTTCAATCAGGTGTCATCATGACTGGCCCTGATTTCTCCTTGATGGAGTCTCGATTCCTCCCAATTTCATCACTTGTATTTAGTGGGATTGGTATAAGGAGCTCTGCGTCAATTTTGTTTCTGCTTGAAGTGGAGGCAATCACAATGAAATCTGCAATTTTAGCCGCTTCAATTATAAAGATCCAACACCTTAGTGTGTTCATGGATTCTCTTTCTCTTGCCAAGCTTCTCAAGTATAGAGGTGTTGTCAATGAGCGGAAAAACATATTATCGGACATCTTATGTCTCTTAGGACCCTTTTCTTCTATCCCTATCTATCATGTATTTGTATTTTACACGACATGTGTTTTAGCCGAATCTTTTATCTATGTCTTGCTTGTTAGACTTTAACATATTCTCCATAATTGGAGTTTGAGTAATTTATAAAATCTTGGTTTGATAAAAAAAAAATACATTATAGCGATTAATGTAGCCTGCTCGATTCGGTTTTAATTCAATCTTCCTTTGAAGTTTTTCTTTTGTTCTAAAAGGGAATTAAATTTATTTAATTTTCATATTAGTTTGGTATAAACCGTATAATGATGTCTTGCTTTTTTTAGTTCAGTTTTATTATCTTAAAATATTTTTTGTTTGTGCTTCTAAAAAATACATGTTAACACAAAAACAACACTTGATCACATGATTCACATCAAGGAAAAACGATTTAATCATACACTAACTATCGACCATAATTACAGAACATACATGAACTATATACTTGTGTCAATTCATATATCAACTCATATAATTCGGTTAAAACATACATTAACAAGTCAACAAGTGAGCTGCCACGTCAATGTATCTTCAATGATCAGCTACTAATCAACTGACGTGGCAGCTGAATCATTATCAATGTCATCAAAATATTTTTAGTTAAAAAAATAAAAATTACACTTAAAAATATTTTTAATCATAACAAAATAAAATTTACAATA